AGCGAGATATGGCGCATCCCCTCTCAGATCCTCTCCCCTCTCCAACGGGTATGTACGTGCATACGGGCCTAAAAAAGGTTCCTTGTCAGCTGTCTACTACAGCAAAGCTGTTAATTATTTGAGCATAAAACTTTTTCTGAAGAATTCTTTCAAACTAGTTTACCTTGAAATACGGCTTTTTCTCTAGCGCATTGACAATCACAGGAATCAGAGCTAAAATCAATGCTATTAAGTCCAATACATAAGCATTTTCCTCATCTTTTACTTACCAAATGTCGGAGTAGCCATTCCTATTCGGGATATGACAACTTGCGTAATTGCAGACCGTGCAACGTGCTTGCTTTGCCCAAGTTTGTTACCATCGGCATCCACGATATCGATACCGTCACGCAATTCGCTAAGAAATTTTGCTTTGGAATTTTTAAAGCAAATTGCTCAGAAAACTTACCCCCTTCGCATCATTGGAATATTGATGGCGTTGGCAACACATACAGCAACGAACGGAACGAGTCGTCCGATAAGGGGTGGAGCAGTCTGGAAAAAAAGTAATATTTAGTAATTAAATAATAAAGTAATTTAAAAATATTTTTTCTTTATCTTATTTACTATACTCTAGGTGTGCCAAAGAAAACATAGGAGAACTTTTCACGCACTTCATTGATATTTTGAACTGCATATTCCTTGCGCACTTACTTTTGTAGTACTACAACAAAATTTATTTGCCTGAAGATTTGTGGCTCATTTTACGCTGCAATATTTTATTTGAGTTGTTAAAAGTAAGTTCCTTTTCTGAATAAATCAACTGTTTTGGTTTCCTTAGCAGACTTAGGGTGTCTTGACATAGCGAAGCAAACTCTGCAAGATGACCACCAAAGATCCACCTAAGTCGTACTCTAGGTAAAATTTGGAGCCAAAAACACAGTTTTCTACTACTCAAAACGGATTTTCCTCCAGAAGATTTCCACGACCTTCCAGCTTAGTCACTATACAGCAGAAACAAGGAAAAAATTCCACAAAGCTGATTTCCTTGTTATTTATTAGGTTGTTAACTAGGTTTTACAACTTTTTCCATAACTTTTCTCTTATTGTATTATTTTGGCAACGTTTAGAATGTAATCTTAGTTACAAATATAGCAATTTGCTCCACATACTAGAACGCGTGTGAGGGCTACGGTGGGTATACTGTAGAAGTGGAAAAATTCACGCATCTTCTAGTTACAATTCCAGCTGAAACTTGTTTACGGGATTTCTCGACACGCTAAGTATTTAGAAAATCATATTTTTGTAATATTAGCTCCCGAAAATTTCGCGATCATTCATTCTCATTCCCCCCCCCCTTCACTGGGTACGCCACTTTTGACCATGCTAACGATCAGCACTGTACACATGCTTTTGAGACATCTTGCACAAATAATTCCAGCTACTTACTTAATAAGCCATAGTTAACATACTCTTTCCCCACTTGCGCTACTTTCCCCAAGCACTGTCCCTAGCCAGTTACAGACAAACTCCAGCTGTCGAAATCATTGTTTGCTTTGATTAGTTTCTGCTCGAATAGGTAAGGGGCCCTTTCTCAACGCAGGGCCCACTGTGCGTAAGCCATGCATACACGAGCGGCTGGCTGGTCGCGATGGAGCAGCCAGCATAGTGCCTGGTCATTCATTCAAATGTGCAGCTGTCATATACGTAAATGAAGTCATGCATTTGGCCGTGCGTTTTATGTGAGGAGACGGGAAATGAATGCATAAAGTTCGAATGGAAAAGAGCACTACCTTCACCAATGAGTTCAGTCCCAAAGCGGCGACGAGAGCTCCACCAGTGGCGGCGAAGTAGGATTGAACCAACTGAAAAATCATATACAAGGTGTCAAAAAATTGTACTACTGTTTGATCTAACTTTTTTCGAATTGTGTGTTGTATAATGGGTAAAAATTTCATAAATATCGCACCGTTTCACTTTTAAATTTTTAGGGTTACGAACCTGGATGCTTTTTTGATTTTTACCAGAATTAGATTATGATGAATATTTATAACAAGTTATTTTTGTAATAGAATGATGATGTCAGTAGTTTTTTTT